AGCCTCAGCCTGCTTCAGCCTCAGCCTCAGTCTGCCTTCAGCCTCGGCCTCGGCCTCGGCCTGCCTCAGCCTCAGCCTGCATCAGCCTCAGCCTCAGCCTGCCTCAGCATCAGCCTGCCTCAGCCTCAGCCTCAGCCTGCCTCAGCCTCAGCCTCAGCCTCGGCCTGCTTCAGCCTCAGCCTCAATCTGCCTTCAGCCTCGGCTTCAGTCTCAGCCTGCCTCAGCCTCAGCCTGCATCAGCCTCAGCCTCAGCCTCAGCCTGCCTCAGCCTCAGCCTGCATCAGCCTCAGCCTGCTTCAGCCTCAGCCTCAGCCTGCATCAGCCTCAGCCTGAGTCTGCCTTCAGCTTCGGCCTCAGCCTCAGCCTGCCTCAGCCTGCCTCAGCCTCAGCATCAGCCTGCCTCAGCATTCAAAATGTGGCCAGGGAATGGAATTCTGGGAACTCGAAGAACACGAAGTGGCCTACAGCTTGCTCCGGGCATTCAAAATCATACCCAGGAATGGAGTTCTGGGAAGTCCAAGAGCACGAAGTGGCCTACAGTTGGCTCCGGGCATCCAAAATGTGGCCCGGGAATGGAGTTCTGGGAACTCGAAGACCACGAAGTGGCCTACAGTTGGCTCCGGGCATCCAAAATGTGGCCCGGGAATGGAGTTCTGGGAACTCGAAGACCACGAAGTGGCCTACAGTTGGCTCCGGGCATCCAAAATGTGGCCCGGGAATGGAGTTCTGGGAACTCGAAGACCACGAAGTGGCCTACAGTTGGCTCCGGGCATTCAGAATGTGGCCCGGGAATGGAGTTCTGGGGTGTCAAGTACGAGGAATTGTATGACTGTTGCGTCCGGCTATTCCGAATGTGGCCCGGGAATGGCGTTCTGGGAAGTCAAGGAGCACCAAGTGTGTGACTGTTGCATCCGGTTATTCAGAATGTGGCCTGGGAATGGGGTTCTGAGAGGTCGACGAGCACGAAGTGTGTGACTGTTGGTGAAAAACGAGCCCGGCACAGGCCCGGCCGGCAACTCCCAACGCCTGCCCGGACCCCCCTGTGGAGTGATCTGTGAGCTCTTTTGAGTCAACTAGAAACCTATCAGTCTTCGCTGTTAGGTAAAAAAACACTTCTGCCGGTGCGGGCTGTGCCGCGACTGCCGTGTTCCCCAGGGGACTCTTTGGCGAGCACGCGGTAGATTGTCCAAGAGGGCTCTGGCGCAAAATCCCCCGACCCCTTGGGGAGCCATCAGCGTGCGAGATGCCCACCCCTCCCGCGACCCCTTCCCCCGGACCCCGGTCCAATTGATTTGGAGGAGGGGATGTCCGCCCGGATCAACCGGGCCTGGCCCCAACGCATCATATGAGGATAGAGGGCCCCACAACTAGATCAGCCTCGCGACTCCAAAGAAGGACCTATGGGGGCCCATCCGGAAGGAAAGGACTTCTGGGGCGAACACAGGAACCCAGGGGGTCCGGTTTCCGCGGAGAAAAAAAATCCCTGGCGAGGGGTTCGAGCACGGGGGTTACCCCGGCCTCAAATTCTGGAAGAAGAATGTATTCTCAGCCGCGGGGGTGCCCGCGCGAGGGGTCCCCTTCCCAGATTGTAAGTGCAACGCAGCAACACTCCAATAGTGGTTGCACTAGGGAGTTGTGCTAGTAATAGGGCGTTGTACCAGGGAGTCCTACTGGGAGTTGCACTAGGGAGTTGGACTGGTACTAGGGAGTTGCATAGGGACTTGCTCTAATGGAATTGCACTAGGGAGTTGCACTGGGAAGTTGTACCAGGGAGATGTACTAAGGAGTTGTACTAGTACTAGGGGGTTGTACTAGGGAGTTGTACTAGTACCACTTGCTCCAGGGAGTTGTACTAGGGCATTGCACTAGGGAGTTGCACTACGGAGTTGCGCCAGGGAGTTGTACTGGCACAATAATGCTTGCACGGCACTCTAAGACTTGCACGGCAAGACAATGTGCTATCTAGGAGCAACTGCGCGCTAGTACATGATAGTACCAGTCGTACTCAAGTACTAGTTATACGGTAGTCGGACGGGTTCAGGGGTTCCAGTGGCAACTCGCGCGCGGAAGAAAGAAAGAAATCCATGCGCCGCCAGGGGTCCCGGGTTTAACGGGTCGCCGCGAAGGTTGACCCCCCGCAGAAACTAGCCCAGAGGGCCCCCAGAGGCCCCCAAGACGATGGCTCCCAGTCGCCGAAAGATCCTCCAGGACGGCCAAGATGGCCTCCAGACGGCCCAAGACGCCCCAAAAACGCCCCAAGAGGCCTCCAAAAGCCCTCCCAAGAGCCAAGAGGGCCCCAAGAGGCAACGCTCGTTGGTTCTCAATCCGTTCCCGAAAGATCTTCAGCGCTCTCGCCTCTTCGCTTCCCCGACGCTCCACCACGGCCCAGGAGGCTCCCAAGCTCTCCCCAGACGGCCCCAGCGGCCTCCCAGAGGGCCCCTGAACAGGCAGAGAGTCGGCTACACGCAAGAGTGACCCTGGGCAAGAGTGACCTTTGGTGCGCGGCTTTTTGGGGGCCGCGGGAGGACCGAACCTGGGCGCGCAAGCCGCTGCTCCTGCTTCGTTTTCAGCCGCCTGGGGACCCATCTGTGCCCGCACCAAAGGTCACCCCGGCGAAAGGTCACTCTCACGTCTAGTCGAGAGAGGGCCCCCACGCGGCCCCGAAGACGGCCTCGGAGGCCTCCCGCACGGCCCCCGAAAGCGCGCCCCCGCACCGCCACGAGGCGAGGGCCCCGAGGAGGGGGGCCCCGAGCCCGCGTGCCGAGCCCTCTCGGCCCCCCCGAAGGCCCCGAAGAGGCCTCCCGCAGGCCCCCACGAAGCGCCCCAAAGGATACCAAGACGCCCCGAAAAGGCGCCCAAGAGGCCCTCAGGAACAACACATCGCAACCACCGGTTCCCCAAGGGGTTCGGCGGTGTGGCCTGAACCCAAGATCACACAGAAGCGCCCCAAGGGATACAGGGCAGTGTTTAATACATGTGATTTTTTAAACCTATCGGATTTTTCTCATACATGACTCATACATGCATAAATGTATGCATGAACTCGTCGTTGCTTTTAGTACTAAGACTCTGCATGTTTAATACATGATCCGCACGCGAAGCATGTATTAAAAACGACACTGTACCAAGACGCCCCGAAGAGGCGCCTAGGAGGCCCTCAGGCACATCACATCGCAACCACCGGTTCCCCAAGGGGTCGGCGGTGCGGCTTGGGCCCAAGATCACACAGAAGAGCCCCCCCCCCTAAACCAGGGCGCTCAACCCGCGCGCCACCCGTGTGAGGGGCAGCTACATCGGCATAAACACAAACTGTGGTCAGCGTGGATTTTTTCTACCGGCGCTGAACAAAATCTCGATGGACAACTGGCCATCGCTCGGACATCCATTTCCTGTGTTTTTTGGGGTTTCGTGCGTGATTTTTTCGCCAAATGATCAAGGATGCTCCTCGATGGTCCTCGCCGAAGGAAAAATGCACACGTCCGAGCGATGCCAAGACAAAACGGTAGCTGATTTCCGATCGACATATCGGTTCCCAGAGCCACAACTCGATTGGGCTCCTTTTTCACATCTGGACAACCCCGTCGCCGACAACTACCATGAAGTCGGGCCTGTCGCTCTGCAGGAGGAATGCTCAAAAATAGTCGAACAATAGTCCGGGGACGAGGTTTTGTCTATGTCTGCCCATTTGGGGGGCATTCGCTGCGTACTGCTTCACTTTTCGTTCAAAATCCCCCTGTAGGGGGGACACGCCCGACTTAAAACTATCAGCTCAGCGCATATTGCCGACGGTGCCATGCACAGTCTGCCCAGTCGAGCAGAGCAGCCACCGCGCTTGAAGCGGGTGGCGCGTCGGGCACTCGAGTCCTCGTCACTTCCGCCCCGTGCGAAGCGACAACTATACCGGGCCCCTCCGGCGCCTCCATCCTGTAGCCCCCCCACGAGACGCAAAGACGACCCTCCAAGGCCCCCAGAGATGTCCTAGCGAGCCCCAGAGAGCCGCAAGGAGGTCCCAAGCGGCTCCAGCTGAGCCCTGACACAGCCCCGAGGCACCGACGCATCGGCGACGCGCTCGGAGTACCAGGGTTCCTCATCCTCCTCCCTCATCCTCCGCTTGAGCATCCTCATCCTCCCCTTCCACCAGCATATCGACGCGGACAGCCATATGATACAATATTCGATCACGGCCTTCTCCTGCTCACTCCACACCCTTGCGCCCTCGCTGGTTGCGAGATTTGCTTGCTCCTTTCCCCGCGGGGGCGCGCCGTGACTCCCGCTCTGCAATCGTTTGAGGTCCGCTCTCAGCCGAGCGGACGCGCTGGAGAACACTCAGCTCCTGGGTGCCGATGCTCGTCCCTGGGGACGGGGGACGCCACTCTGGGACGGCGCGAGGGTCGCTCCGCCACCGTGCCCCCCTGGCGCTTGGAGGTGTGGTGGGATGCCACGTGCTGTCTGGTAGGGTTTCTCTAGATCCTTGAAGGACCACCCCCCCTTTCCCCACGAGTGGTGGGCCGTCCTGGACGTACAATCGGGGCCCCACGACAGCGTGGTGACGGACCGCGTAGCGACCTCGGAATCCCCAACGACCCCTCCGGGCGGTCCGTCGCCGCACGATTGCGGCAGGCTTTAGAACCTACCACACGGTGTGGTCACCACACCGTTCGGGGGCCTCCGAGGCGCTCGGGGGCCTCCGAGGCCTTCGAGGCGTTCGAGACAACTCGGGCACCTCAGGAACGCTTTCTGCGAGGCGCAGCTGCTGGAAGGGATACACGAAAACGCCTTCCGAGCGACTCGATCCTCGAACCTCGATCGACGGCGGCGGCGGCCTGGAGGTCCCAGGGACCCCTCGGGGCAGAGTTCCCAGGGCTACGAAGAGGAGGAGGAGGAGGAGGAGGAGGAGGAGGAGGAGGAGGAGGAAGACCCCCCAGGCTGGGAGGCCGCCGAGAACCGGCGAAGGCGTCCGCGAACCGACGGAAAACTCGGGATGGATCCGGGGGGGGGGCCGTCCTGAACGTACAACTCCCCGTCCCACTCGTACTCCGCGCACAGGTACGCGTCCCGGCCGACCTGGCTGGGCGAGGACAAGGGCGAGCAGCCGCGTTCAGGAACAGGCCAGGAGGACCAGGAAAGGGGCTCGGCCGTTCCTTTAGACTTCCTGGACTTCGTTGGGGGAAGAGTGGCTTCGTTACTTGCTTATCCCTCCTTAGGTCAACGCCCCGACCGTAAATAGAAACTTTCGGAGGCCCGTGCAGATATCTCGGATCGGCTCCGGAGTTCCCTCCCGCGCGCCAGGGGCGGCGCCGGAGACGCCGCCAGGGGGGCCCAGCGCAGGTCCAAGAAATCCGTGTGGAGCTCCGAAAGTTTATGCTTGTTCCACTTTTCCTGGGTCGAGCCCTGGGATGGGCGAAAACCATTCGAAAACTCCCGAAACCTTCCAAAAACCTGGATCCAAACCTTGATCCTCTCTTTCGGACGCCTGACACGGGTACGGAATCAATGGGCACGACATCCAACGGCAACTGTTGTCCTGAACCAGCAGCGGCCGCAGTTGGGCAGGAAACTTCTTGTCTCAACTGGACGACGTCCGCGGCACCGCCGACAGCGAGTCCTATTCAAAATAGACAGGAACTGTTGTCATTCTTCGTTCCAACTCTTTCCGTACCCATTTCGATGAGGAGCGAAAGCCATCCGAAACCATCGAAAAACTTCAGCAAAAACCTAGGCCATCGATCCTTGGTGTTGACTCCTTGCAGTGGCGTTCTTCAAGGTTCCTTGGTCTTGGTTCCTTACAGTGGCGTTCCTTCGGTTCCTTGGTATTGGTCCTTGCTGCCTTCCTCGGGTACCTTGGTCTCAGTTCCTTGGTCTTGGTTCCTTGGCTTCTTTTTACCTTGGCCTCGTCTTCTTATCTCAGTCCCTTGGTCAGATGTCTTTGGTTTTGGCTCCTTGGTCATTGTTTCCTTGGTCATGTGGTCTTGATTCCGAATACTTTCGATATCAACTACATAATCAACATGCTCATCAATATCATCAACCTCATGAGCATCATCACCATCAACATCGGCATCCTCCTCAGCAGCATCATCATCAGCAGCATCAGCCTGATCCTCATCCTCAGCCTCATCATCATCTTATTCATCGTCAGTAGGATTCGAATCGTCGTCGTCATCAACATCAACGACACCATTCTGGTCCTCAACCGTAATCATAAACATCGTCATGCACATCGTCAACATCAACATCGTCAACATCATCATCATCCTCCTCCTCCTCATCATCATCATCATCATCGTCATCGTCATCGTCATCACCGTCATCATCACCACCACCATCAACATCATCATCATCATCAGCAGCATCATCAGCATCAGCATCAGCATCAGCAGCATCATCATCGTCATCATCAGACTCATCCTCATCCTCATGCTCATCCTCATCCCTATCCTCAGCCTCAGTCTCAGCCTCAGACTCAGCCTGAGCCTGAGCCTGAGCCTGAGCCTCCTCATCCTCATCATCATCCTCATCCTCATCCTCGCCCTCATCCACATCCACATCCACGCCCTCATCCACATCCACATCCACATCCTCATCCTCACCCTCGTCATCCTCATCCTCACCCTCCTCATCCTCATCATGATCATCATCAACATCATCATCATTCATCCTCCTCCTCCTCATCATCATCATCGTCATCGTCATCACAGTCATCATCGTCACCACCATCAGCATCAGCATCATCATCAGCAGCATCACCATCATCATCCTCAGCATCAGCAGCATCATCATCATCAGCATCGTCAGCATCATCGGCATCATAATCGTCAAACTCACCAGGATCATCATCATGACCAGCAACAGCATCACCATCATCATCATCATCATCAACATAATCATACTCAACAGCATCATCAATATCACTATCACTATCAGCATCAGCATCATCGTCATCATCATCGCCATCAGCATGATCAACATCACCATCACCATCCTCCTCGTCCTCGTCCTCATCCGCATCCTCATCCTCATCCTCATTAACATCCTCCTCACCATCCTCATCCTCATCTTCAATCTCATCCCCATCCTCATCGCCAGCATGAGCATCATCATCACCAGCAGCATCATCATCAGCAGCATCAGCATCATCATCCTAATCCTCATCATCACCGTCTTTAGCATCAGCATCGCCAGCAACATCATCATCGCCATCATCATCATCGTCATCATCATCAGCATCATCATCATCATCATCATCAGCATCATCATCATCATCATCATGATCACCATCATCATCATCATCATCATCATCATCAGCATCATCATCATCATCAGCATCATCAGTATCATCATCATCATCCTCGCCCTCATTCTCCTCCTCATCCTCCTAATCCTCATTCCCATCCTCATCAATATCCTCATCCGTATCCTCACCCTCATCCTCAGAATCATCATCAGCATAATCGGCATCACCAGCAACATCATCACCATCATCACCGTCAGCAAAATCGTCATCATCGTCATCAGTTTCGTCATCATCGTCATCGTCATCATCAGCATCATCATCATCATCAGCATGATCGTCATCGTCATACTCATCGTCTTCATCATCATCAGCAGCATCAGCATCATCATCAGCATCATCAGCATCGTCAACATCATCATCATCATCAGCATCTGCATCGGCATCGTCATTGACATCGTCATCATTATCATCATCATCATCATCAGCATCATCATCATCATCAGCATCAGCATCATCATCATCAACATCGTCAACATCATCATCATCATAAGCATCACCATCATCATGAACACTCTCATCATCATCATCATCCTCATCCTTATCCTCAGCCTCAGTCTCAGCCTCAGACTCAGCCTGAGCCTGAGTCTGAGCCTCCTCCTCCTCCTCCTCCTCCTCATCGTCATCCTCATCATCATCATCTTCATCCTCATCCTCGCCCTCGTCCACATCCACATCCTCGCCGTCATCCACATCCACATCCACGTCCTCATCCTCATCCTGACCCTCCTCATCCTCATCCTCACCCTCCTCATCCTCATCATGATCATCCTCAACATCAGCATCATCCTCTTCCTCATCATCATCATCATCGTCATCACAGTCATCATCACCACCACCATCAGCATCAACATCCTCATCAGCAGCAGCATCATCATCATCATCCTCATCCTCAGCATCATCATCATCATCATCATCATCATCATCATCATCCTCAGCATCATCATCATCATCATCATCATCATCATCACCATCCTCATCCTCAGCATCATCGGCATCATAATCGTCAAACTCACCATGATCATCATCATGACCAGCATCATCATCACCATCATCATCATCAACATCATCATACTCAACATCATCAGTATCACTATCAGCATCAGCATCAGCATCATCTTCATCACCATCATCATCCTCCTCGTCCTCGTCCTCATCCGCATCCTCATCCTCATCCTCATTATCATCCTCCTCACCATCCTCATCCTCATCTTCAATCTCATCCCCACCCTCATCGCCAGCATGAGCATCATCATCACCAGCATCATCATCATCAGCATCAGCATCAGCATCCTAGTCCTCATCATCACCGTCTTTATCATCAGCATCGTCAGCAGCATCATCGCAATCATCAGCATCATCGTCATCATTATCATCATCAGCATGATCACCATCATCATCATCATCATCATCATCAGCATAATCAGCATCATCATCATCATATCATCATCATCATCCTCGCCCTCGGTCTCCTCCTCATCCTCATAATCCTCATTCCCATCCTCATCAATATCCTCATCCGTATCCTCACCCTCATCCTCAGAATCATCATCAGCATAATCAGCATCACCAGCACCATCGTCACCATCATCAGTATCAGCATCATCGTCATCATCGTCATCATCGTTATCATCATCATCGTTATCATCATCATCGTCATCAGTTCCGTCATCATCATCATCATCATCATCATCAGCATCAGCATCATCATCATCATCATCATCATCATGATCGTCATCGTCATACTCATCGTCATCATCATCAGCATCAGCATCGTCATCAGCATCAGCACCATCAACATCATAGTCATCATCATCATCAGCATCATCAGCACCATCACATCACCATCATCATCAGCATCAGTCTCACCATCAGCATAATCATCGTCACCATCAGCATTACCGTTATCACCATCGTCATCATCATCGTCATCATCAGCATCATCATCATCACCATCATCATCCTGGGCATCAGCATTAGCACTAGCATCCTCAGCAGCATCATCCTCATTCTCATCCTCATCATCATCGGTAATCTCTCGGCCGCGCCGCGGGCAGGCCGACGCGCCGCTCAGAGGCGCGCGGGCCGGGGGGGACCTTGTCCACCACGCGGCTCTGGGGCTCCGCCTTCGGTGCGCGCGGCGGTGCCAGACAGCGTCGTCGTCGTGCAAATCTAGCGAGGGAGCTGCAACGAAATGAGGAGGGAACTTGGGAGGAGGAAGAGGGAGGATGTGGAAGATGAGGAGGATGTGGAGACGGAGGAGGAGACGGAGGTGGAGGAGGAGAAAAAAGGAGGAGGAGGAGGAAGAGGAGGAGGCAAAGGAGACAGAGGAGGAGGAGGGGGAGAAGTGGGACGAGGAGGAGGAAAGGAAGGGAGAAGGATAGGAGAAGAAGGAGTAAGGATGAGGAGGAGCAGGAGGAAGAGGAGGGGATTAGGAGGGGGAGCGATGAGGAGAAGGAGGAGGAGGGGGATAAGGAGACAGCGGAGGAGACAGAGGAGGAGGATGAGAAGTATGAGAAGGATGGGGAGGAGGAGGAGACAGAAAAGGAGGAGGAGGAGCAGTGGGTGGAGGAGGAGGAAAGGGATAAAGAGAAAGAGGGAGAGGATAATGAGGGTAAGATGATGAGGAGGAGAGCCGGAGGAAGAGGAGGATGAGGAGATGAGGAGGGAGACGATGATGATGATGATGATGATGATGATGATGATGATGATGATGATGATGATGATGAAGAAGAGGAGGAGGAGGAGGAGGAGGAGGAGGAGGAGGGAAGAAGACGAGGAGGGGGGGAGGAGAAGGAGGAGGAGGAGGAAGAGGAGGAGGAGGAGGAGGAACAGAAAGAGGAGAGAGGAGGAGGAAGAGGAGGCGAGGGAGGAGGGGCTCGGGGCCTTCGGAGCTCGTCGACCGTGCTCGGCGGGGCCCGACGGTGGCGGCGGCTGGCCCTCCGTCCGCCCACGGCGACCCTGGCCTGGGCACCAACGCGCACGCCCTCCGCTGGCCATCGCTCGGACGTCCATTCCTTGTTTTTTTTGGTTTCGCGCGCGTATTTCCCAGAAGAACAAACTGCAGGAACAGAAACTTTCAGCGCTTCGCGCGGATTTCTTGGATCCGCGCTGGACCCCGTCCCTGGCGCGCGGAGCGCGCCAGGGGCGGCGCCGCAGGCGCCGCCCCGGGGGGCCCGGCTGGCCATCGCTCGGACGTGCATTCCCTGTGTTTTTGTTTGGTTTCGTGCGCGTTTTTTTCGCTAAACGATCCAGGATGCTCCTCGATGGCCCTCGCCGATGGAAAAAGGCACACGTCCGAGCGATGCGCCAAGTCCGAGGCTGGGCCGGGAGGGTGAGCGGGATGCGCCTCGCGGGGCCTCCTAGATGGGGTCGGAGCAGAGGGGGTCGAAGGATCGCGCCGCATCGCCGATGCATCGGCGATGCGTCGGTGATGCATCGGCGGCGTGGGCGTGGAGAAAATCGGGCTCCGCATCGAGCCGCACCGCCGATGCATCGGCGATGCGGAGCGATCCTCCGACCCCATCTGCTCGGACCCCTTATAGGGGCCCTAGAGCCTCAAGGGGCACCGGAGGGCTGCGTCAAGGCGAAGGCAGGATGAGGATACGGTCAAAACTGGTACAGTCGAGGCTGGTTCGTAGGTCGACCCTGCCAAATCAAGGGCACCCTTGTGTCCCGTGCCCCGCGACCCATGCTTCTGCATGCATGTGGCAATGTGGCCCTCGGAAGAGTCTTGCGTCCTCTCGCGTGTACTCTTCGATCCACCCCGACTGCAGCAAGGATGCGTGATCAGGGTGCGAGCCTCTTGGACGCGCATGTCGAGGCTTTCTCGAGCGCGGCGGGCCATCAGAAGCCGTCAAGGATGGACCAGACAGGCACGGATGCAAGGGCAGGAGAACCCAGAATCGACTCAACAAGTCGGATCGGCGATCGGCATGCATCGGGTTGACGGCAATCGGCAGCCGCGTCGGGAAACGCCGAAGCGGCAGACATCGGCAGGCTTATAGGCCCCCCCTGGGAACTCGGACCCCGAATCGGAGTCCGAAGTCGACTCCAGCGGGAACCGGAACCCGTCGAGATCGAGATCGAATCGGCTCGGAGGCATCGAAGTGATCCCCGCAGGGGCACCCTTTGGGCAGGCTTCCTCGGGCGGAGGTGAAGGAGGAGGAGGAGGAGGAGGAGGAGGAGGAGGAGGGGGAGAATAGGGAGGACGGGGAGGAGGGGGAGGAGAGGAGGAGGAGGAGGGGAGGAGGAGGGGAGGAGGAGGAGGAGGAGGCGGAGGAGGAGGAGGAGGAGAGGAGGAGGAGGAGGAGGAGGAGGAGGAGGGGAGGAGAGGAGGAGGAGGAGGAGGGGGAGGAGAGGAGGGAGGAGGAGGAGGAGGAGGAGGAGGAGGAGGAGGAGGGAGGAGGGGGAGGAGGAGGAGGGAGGAGGAGGAGGAGGAGGAGGAGGAGGAGGAGGGAGGAGGGGGGGAGGAGGAGGAGGAGGAGGAGGAGGAGGAGGAGGAGGAGGAGGAGAAGTTCTCGCGGTCTCGACTGCAGACTCGGGCGAGGACGAGGTCGGGTGCGAGCCGCGGGGTCTGCGAGGTGCACTGGGCGCCGCGGCCGGGCCCCGGGTGGGCCGGAGCGCTCTCCGAGAGCGCTCGGGAACGCGCTGGGGCGATGTGCAGTGGAGGCCTCCACCTCCTCCTCCTCCTCCTCCACCTCCTCCTCCTCGACCGTCTCCTCCACCACCTCCATCCTCCTCCACCTCCTCCTCCTCCCCCTCCTCCCTCCTCCCTCCTCCTCCTCCTCCTCCTCCTCCACCTCCTCCTCCTCCTCCCCCCTCTCCTCCTCCTCCTCCTCCTCCTCCTCCTCCTCCTCCTCCTCCCACCACCTCCTCCCTCCTCGTCCGTCCTCCTCCTCCTCCGCCTTCTCCTCCTCCTCCTCCTCCTCCTCCTCCTCCTCCTCCATCGTCCGTCCTCCTCCTCCTTCTCCGCATCTTCCTCCTCCGCCTCCTCCATCTCCTCTCAGCCCTGAGACCACAGGACGTCCCTCGGTTGGTGTGGGAACGTCGCGCTGTCCATCGCAAAACCATCGGAACCGAAGAGACCCAGGGCACCTGGGTCTCCACTGCATCCTCGTCCCAGGCCTGGCTATGAGCGGAACCTTAGGGGTGGATATCGCAGGGGCGGGCATTGACGCGTGAAACGACCCCCCTCCATCCTTGTAGCTCTTGCAGGCTCTTACGGCGAATGACGACTGAGCGCGACGCTGTGGTGAGAGCCCCATTTTGGAGACCATGCCCCCTCCATCTGTGGAGCTGTTGCACATTCCAAACTTCAGGATCATAACCCATGAAGAGGAGGTCTCAGGCGAAACGCCCGGCCTGCCATACTGACGGCTCAAGGGGTGCGGCAGGGAGGAGTTACAAGGACACGAGATGGAGCGCAACATGAGGAGGAGGAGGAGGAGGAGGAGGAGGAGGAGGAGGAGGAGGAGGAGAGGAGGAGGAGGAAGAGGAGGAGGAGGAGGCTAGGAGGAGGAGGAGGAGGAGGAGGAGGAGGAGGTGGAGGAGGAGGAGGAGGAGGAGGAGGAGGAGGAGGAGGAGAGAGGAGGAGGAGGAGGAGGAGGAGGAGGAGGAGGAGGAGGAGGAGGAGGAGGAGGAGGAGGAGGAGGAGGAGGAGGAGGAGGAGGAGGAGGAGGAGGAGGAGGAGAGGAGGATGTGATCATCGTTTGGCCCGTCACTGAAGGCAACGCCCATGGTAAAGGGGGCACGATCAGGGTGCTCGGGCCGTGGAGGGTCGTGCTGACGCTTCTCGAGCGGGGCGCCACTCGCACGCGGGGCGTCCACCGGAAGGTCGGCTCTGCAGCACGACTGGGCGAGCGCGTTCCACTACTCGCAAAGTAACTACACCCTGCGAAATGCTTAAGAAATCATGGGTTAAGAAATTCATAGTCTCAGAATTTGAATAAAAACTCCAAATTTCTACCAAACTTGTAAGATTTACACTGGAACATTAAGAATAATCGAGACTCTGGCCGAAAAATTAGGTTTTCTTAAGCATCGCCTAAGGTGTACTCGCAAAGTGGCCTGGATCCGCCATGGGAGATGTACGACAGGGCTGAACCTAAACGGTGTTTTTCGTTTTCGTTTTGTGTTCGTTTTCCCTCGCTTTTGTCTCGAATCCGCCTTTACCGCAAAACGGAGGTCGAAACGAAAACGGCCCACGAAATCACCAAAAACACCGTTCAGGTCCGGCCCTGATGTACGATACATTACACCGAAGCAGACATGTGTTTTTCCGACGTTTGTGAGTAGGCACTTTGCGAGTAGTGGAACGCGCTCGGTGAGAGTGACCGAATCGAAACCAGATCCGATCTCGGGCTGGTCGCAGTGCGCACGAAGGCCAGGGCAGCCCGTCGTCGAAAACGTGGCGGCCGCCCTCGGGGCAGGTTCGAGCCTGGGAGGCCCGCTCGCCTGTCTCGGGCCGAGAGGTCCCGAGCGAGGCCATGCGGGAAAGCTCTGCGACTTACAGTCAACCCGAATAGCAAGGATGCGCGACAAGGATGCAAGGACCTTGGACGCCCATTTCGAAGCGCTTCGAGCCGGGCGCGGCCAACGAAAGTGTCCAAGGATGGACCCAGGAGGCAAGGATGCAAGGGTACCATTGGGAGGGATGTCCACCCCTACTATGCGGGTCGACTGTAATCGACGTGCCAGGACAAGAGGTCTGTCAACCTCCGAGGGCCACAGGCGACCGTGCGCTGGGGGATGCTCGGGGCGGCGTGGCAGACACCGGCGCACGTGACAGCGACCTCCACTTCCACCTCCGCCTCCTCCTCCACCTCCGCCTCCTCCTCCTCCTCCTCCTCCTCCTCCTCCTCCTCCCCGCCTCCTCCTCCCCCTCCCCCTCCCCCTCCTCTTCCTCCTCCCCTCCTCCTCCCTCCTCCTCCTCCCTTCCTCCTCCTCTATCTCTCCTCCTCCTCTCCTCCTCCTCCTCCTCCTCCTCCTCCTCTGCGGGTCGACTGTGCCAGCGGCTCGTGGCAACTCCCCGGAAGGGGGGGGGACGGGGGGCGGGGGGCGCGGAGGCGCCCCATGGCTCCGCCACGGGGCCGCAAGCCGAGAGGGCACCCTGACCTGCCCCATCCGACCTCGAGGCCGCCACGTCAAGGGCGGTCAGGAAGAGGAGGAGGAGGCGGAGGAGGAGGCGGAGGCGGAGGAGGAGGAGGAGGAGGAGGAGGTAGGAGGAGGAGGAGGAGGAGGAGGAGGAGGAGGGAGGGAGGTAGGAGGAGGGGAGCGAGGGGGGGGAGGGGGGGAGGAGGAGGAGGAGGAGGAGGAGGAGGAGGAGGAGGAGGAAGGGAGGAGGAGGAGGAGGAGGATGGAGGGAGGAGGAGGAGAGGAGGAGGAGGTGGGAGGAGGAGGTGGAGAGGAGGAGGAAGACGAGGAGGAGGAGGAGGAGGAGGAGGAGGAGGAGGAGGAGGAGGCGGAGGAGGCGGAGGGGTCCGCGGAGGGGCCGCGCCCCACCGCGAATGGGAGAACGCAAGAACGGGTCCGAGGATGGCCAAGGGTGCCCTTCCGGCACCCTCAGGGCCGCGCCAGCCCGCGAGTGGGAGGCCAGGGGGGAGACGTGCCCAAGGATGGCCAAGGGTGCCCCCGAGGGGCGCCGCACCACGCAGCCGAAGAGTGCGGCTCGCCGCGAGGGTACCCCCAGGAGCTAGCCAAGGAGTGGCCAAGAATGGGCCGGAGGGCACAGGATGCAAGGGCAACCTTGGAAAGTCGCTCGTCTTTACTCCAGATTTTGACCGCATCCCCGTCGGCGTGGCCTTGGTCACACTGGCCTACTTAACCCACCTCGGTGGGGATGTATGATCCAGGGTTGCACACGCCCAGTGCATAGAGCCCCCCCGCTGAATGGGTACGCACGTGAGCCTCGCGAAGGCTTCGCGAATGGGATCATGGGATCGCTCCCTGTAGGCGTGGCGTGGTGGAGGGTGCCGATGCTCCCCCCGCCTGTGGGTGTGGGCTGGTTCGTCGTCGTCGTCCTCCTCCTCCTCCGTCATCGTCGTCGTCGTCGTCGTCCATCGTCGTTGTCTTCCGTCGGCGTCGGCATCGTCGTCGGCGTCAGCGTCGGCGTCGGCGTCGTCGTCGACATCGTCGTCGTCGTCGTCGTCGGCGGCGGCAGCGTCGGCGTCGGAGTCGGCGTCGGCGTCGGCGGCGGCGTCGGCGTCGGCGTCGTCGGCGTCGGCGTCGGCGTCGGCGTCGGCGTCATCATCGGTGTCGGCGTCGGCGTCGGCGTCGGCGTCGGCGTCGGCGTCATCTTCGTCGTCGTCGTCGTCGTCGTCGTCCATCGTCGTCGTCGTTGTCTTCCGGCGGCATCGGCATCGTCGTCGGCGTCGGCATCCGCGTCGAAGTCGACATCGTCGTCGTCGTCGTCGTCGTCGGCGGCGGCGGCGGCGGCAGCGTCGGCGTTGGAGTCGGCGTCGGCGTCGGCGGCGGCGTCGGCGTCGGCGTCGGCGTCGTCGTCGTCGGCGTCGGCGTCGGGGTCAATCGGCGTCGGCGTCGGCTTCGGCGTCTGCGTCGTCGTCGTCGTCGTCCCCCCATCTCATCGGGCGGGCGGATTGTGGGTGGAACCATGGGGCCCATCCCATCTGGGGGTGGGCCTGTGAACTCTCGACCTGGGATCACAGATGCCTGTTGCTTCGGGTGTCACGGGCTCTATCCCCACCAGAAGGAGGAGCTGAGATAGCATGGCCACGTGGGGCTGGGGATAAGTTCGACGATGCTGAGGAAAACCCGTGTGAGGACGAGGAGCTGGAAGGCTGCCCCCCCAGCGCCTCAACCCACCTGCTCTCGCCGCCGTCCTCGTCCTCGACGAGCACCTGCTGGCAGGGCCCCAGCTGGGTGACTGATCCCTCTTCTCCTCATCCTCCTCCATCCTCCCCCTCCTCCTCCTCCTTCTCCTCCTCCCCATCCTCCTGCTCATACGGTCCGGAAATTTTGCTTAGCGTGTCGCGGCGTCGGCCCAGGCGACACGCTATGCCTTGCGAGCGGGTAGCGTACCACTTCGCCCCGCGGGGCGGGAGGCCAGAAAAACTCGGGACGTTGACGCTTGGGGACTGATGGGGACTGGGACGGTTGGCGTGCCGCGCAAAAGCACGGTAAGCCAGAACCGGCGGCGCGACACCCTAAGCCAAAGTTTCTGACCGTAGTCTTCCCCCTCCTCATCACTCTGCTGCTGCTGCTGCTGCTGCTGCTGCTGCTGCTGCTGCTGCTGCTGCTGCTGCTGCTGCTGCTTGTGCCGGCATCACCATGACAAATCCACGGTGGCCGCGAGTTCCTGCCGTGGAGCGGCGTACCTGTCATATGCAGCCATGCTGCCGCCTCTGCCCGAAGTCAGCACCCCTCTCAAAGGGATGGATGGTTTGATCCCCGTGGCGAGGGTGAGTCCCACCAGCCCTCTGGGCGTCGGTGGTTTAACGAGTTTCCTCTTCCACCCCTCCCTCTTCCCCTTCGGGGAGGGGTTTACCCCTCCCCCTACCCCCTCCCCACTGACCTGGACAGGAGAGGCGGGGAGCGGTCAGAGCGTCCAAAACGGCCTCGGCGAGGAAGCCAAAATCATTGATTTCATTATGATTTGGGCCCCATTTTGGCCTTCTGAGGGGGCAACGCTAATTAAAGCTCCCCTCTTCTTTGATCGATTTCCTCCACGATGGCCGCAAGAGGCCCCCAGGATGCCCCAAGAGGCCGCAGGATGGCCCCAAGATGGCCCCAAGAGGCCCCCCAAGAGGCCCCCAGAAGGCCCCCAAGAGACCCCCGAGAGGCCCCAAGAGACACCCCAGAGGCACCCAAGGTGCTCCCAGAGGCCTCAGCGATAATGTCAAACCATTGTTTGCACTAAGGTTTTAGCCACATGTTGGCCTCTTGGGGGGGGGCACTGATTAAGATGACTCCAAGAGCGCCTCGGAGAGCCCAAAATGACCTCCAAGATGGCTCAAGAAATCCCAAGATGTCTCATACTGGCTTCCTCTGTGTGCTGTCCACTTCCCTGATCGAGGCAATCCCACCAGCCCTCTGGGCGTCGGTGGTTTAAGGCGTTTCCTCTTCCACCCCTCCCTCTTTCCCTTCGGGGAGGGGTTTACCCCTCCCCCTACCCCCTCCCCGTGGACCTGGACGGGGGGGGCCGCGAGCGGTCAGAGCGTCCAAAACGGCCTCGGCGAGGAAGCCAAAATCATTGATTTTACTGAGATGTTGGCCCCATTTTGGCCTCCTGAGGGGGCAAAGATGGCCCCAAGAAGCGCCCAGGAGGCCCCCAAAGGCCCCAAGATGGCCCCAAGAGGCCCCAAGGAGGCCCCAAAGAGGATCCCGAACGGCCCACAGAGGCCCCCCCGAGGCACCCAAGACGCCGAAAAGCCCCTCAGGACGACCCTCTACTCGCCTGGGCGTCGTTTCTGGACGGGCTGGTGGGGATACGCGAAGCGTCTAGAATTCTCTCTTGGCGGGCGTACAAGCGCAGGACTCGATCGCAGAGGCTGCCGCAGCCTCCTCTCCTGCGGGCACGTGAGAGCCCGCCACCCATCGGCCAGGCCCAGATGGAGATCGCTGATGAACAGATCCTCCTCCACGACCCTTCTGGAAGAGATGGCGGCCCAGAGCCTTCGCCATCGGGAAAAGAACCCGAAAGCCACGCTGCTACGCGCACCGCGCCCCGTGACGTGCGACGCGCGATCACCCCGGCGCCCTCGCGCCCCCCCGCCTCGAAGAGGGGCAGCCATCCTAGCCAGCCTGGCCCAGGCCGCGACGCGCGAAGCGCAGCCATCTTCGCGCCCCCGCGGGTGACGTAGTTGAGCAGGGACCGACCGTCCCGGCTTCCTATAGGCCTACCACGAAATTATCTTAGAACTCCAAACTGTTCTAAGAACAACAACCATTGTCTTAGAACGTAAACCCGATGTGTTAAAACGAGGCAGTCCCAGCCAGAAATGTTCTAAGAACATGTCGTGCAAACCACAACAGGTGTTTTTTATAACATTCTTTGGTAGGCCTGTAGGTGAGCCAGGACGCTTCGCCACTGCTTGACCTAGAGAAGGAGAACCCAGAATCCAATCCACAAGTCGGATCGGCGATCGAAATGAATCGGATCAGTGGGAATCGGAAGCCAAGCCGGGAGAGGTCGAGTCGGCGGAGATCGGAGGGCTGGTGGGCCTCCGTTGAGAGATCGGAGTCCAGACCGGAATCCGAAATCGAATCGGATTGGAGTCGGAAGCCACCGAAGCCGAATCGAATCGCAGCGGAAGAATCGAAATGATCCCTGCACGCTCTGGCTCGGGGGTCTGCTAACCTGGGTCAATCAGACCAGGTCAGCAGGAAACCAAAACAACTGCAAGAAAAAACAGCTGCAGCGCAGGGCTTCGCAAACCCGGGTCAGCCAATATGCGCGGCCGCCTCGCGGCCACGAGCGGCTCGCTAACCCCGGTCAGCCAGAGGGGGCCTTCGCAGGATCCTGCAGGATCCAGTGCCCTAGGTGACCCCGTTGGCATACAGTGCGGGAGCGGCCGCAAGAACCACCCGCAAGAAACCCAACCCTGAGAACCCGTGCGCGAGGTGCACCTGAGGGGACACCCAGAGCACTCTGAACGCAGCAGTTCCTTCAACGGCTGCGGGAAGTCACCGCGCAGCGCGAGGAGCGAAGAAACCCAGGATACCCTGACGAAAAGCATATGATTTCTTGATGCGCGCCCCCACTGTAGTAGGGAAACAACAAGTGGCATACACATAACAACTCGGAGGTCCGCGCGGATTTCTCGGATCCGCGCTGGACCCCCCCGGCGGCGCCTTCGGCGCCGCCCCTGGCGCGCTCCGCGCGCCAGGGAGGGGGGTCCAGCGCCGATCCGAGAAATCCGCGCGGACCTCCGAGTTTTTATGTTTATGCCGCTTGTTGTTCCCCTATGTATAAAGGGAAATTAGGACACACAAATAAATACACACAAATAAAAACAGTCCCCATATTTTCCCATATTTTCTGGGTTCTTGTCTTCCCCCCCAATTCCCATATTTTCCCATATTTTCCTGGGAACCGAGGATTAATTGTGTCTGTGTGTTTTTTTCCCTCCTGATATGTAGACCCCCGCCTCGTAAGCTCAGAGACCGGCTAGGGCAGTCGGGCCGCGCTGCCGGGCCCGTGAGGTGCGAGCGCCCGCGGCGGAGGGCAGGGCCCTGGCCTCCTCCTCCTCCTCCTCCTCCTCCTCCTCCTCCTCCTCCTCCTGCTCCTCCTCCTTCCTCCTCCTCCTCCTCCTCCTGCGCTTCCTGCCTCCTCCTCCTCTCCTCCGCTCCTCCTCCTGCTCCTCCTCCTGCTCCTCCTCCTCCTCGCTCCTCATCCTCCTGCTCCTCCTCCTGCTCCTCCTCCTCCTCCTCGCCCTCCTCGCTCCTCCTCTCCTCGCTCTCCTGTTCCTCCTCCTCCTCATCCTCCTCTTCCTCCCCCTCCCTCCTCCTCTCCTCCTCCACCTCCTCCTCCTCCCTCCATCCTCCTCCTCCTCCACCGTCCTCCTCCTCCTCCTCCTCCTCCTCTCCTCCTCCTCCTCTCTCCTCCTCCTCCTCCCTCCTCCTCACCACCACCACCACACCACCACCACCACCACCACCACCATCACCATCACCATCACCATCACCATCAACCATCACCATCATCACCATCATCATCATCATCATCATCATCATCATCATCATCATCATCATCATCATCATCATCATCATCAGCATCAGCATCAGCATCAGCATCAGCATCAGCATCAGCATCAGCGTCATCATCATCATCATCATCAGCATCAGCATCATCATCAGCAGCATCATCATAATCATCATCACCACCACCATTATCACCATCATCATCATCAACATCAACATCAACATCATCATCATCATCAGCATCATCATCATCATCATCATCATCATCATCATCATCAGCATCATCATCATCATCATCATCATCATAGTCAGCAGCATCATCATCACCACCACCATTATCACCATCATCATCATCATCATCATCATCATCATCATCAGCATCATCATCATGTTCCTCCTCCCCATCCACCTGTTCCTCCTCCTCCTCCTCCGTAGCCATGTTGGTTCAAGGTTTTGGAATTATCGCTGAACCAAGTGGATACTGATAGGCCGCGGCCAGTCTCCACAGCTTTCTCAGCAGCTGGCGCGCCCCAATTGCTGCTGCCTCCCGCTCCCGCGAATGAGCAGATTCGTATCTTGCCAATTACGCACGGGCTTCTGTCAGCCCTGTCTTGTGAAGACACCACGACGCTGCGATGGCTCCTGCCCCGTGGCACCGCTCGGCTGAGGACGAATCGCCCAGGCAGCCCTGGGTCTATGTGCCTCCTGGCGGCGCCAGGAGGCAGGGCATGCTCGCGCTCGGGGCCCTCGTCTTTGCACTGTCTGTTCGCTCGGTCGCTGGACCTGGGATGACATTCTTGCCAAACGCAGTTTCGGGTGAAGCAGCCAGTGCAAGTCCAGTGCTGGCGGCGGCGTGGGAGGTCACCAGCTTCAGCTCCAACACGACGAGTGTGGAGACGGCACCACCAGGGCTGCTAAGGGAGGAAGGCGGCGTCGATCGGCCAGCCTGTTATCCCCTTTTCGTGCAGCGGCTGTCTCTGATCTCTTGCCTGTTTGGGCGGTGTCAAGGAAGCCGCCGCTCAGCTCCCCCCTGCCCTTGCCCAGCAGCTCCTGTCGCCGTGTGTTCCCAAGCGTGCTGCCCACGCGACGCCCACACCGCAGGCGGAGCGGCAGCTTGCTTCCCAGGCCAAGAAGGCATCCCAAGAGAGGCTCGACAAAAAGTCTTGGCGCGGCGTCGGCGTGCACTCCTCGGAAAGGA